ATAGATCTAATTTCTCTGTTTTTATCATCTTTAAGCATCATGTGGCATTTTTCCTTTTTGTGTGTGTGTGTGTGTTTTTAAATCACGTTCACTATTGTCATTTCGTATTAGTCAGTTGGAAGACTAGTTTTAACAACCCTACTTTAGGATTGTTTGATTGAAAGCTGTATTTTTGAGTGTTTGCATGAGAGAGACACACACACAGAGACACGAGTCAGAGAGGGACATAGAGAAAGACAGAGACAGAGAGACAGACAGACAGAGGGAGACAGAGAGAGACAGAGACAGACAGAGAGGGACAGAGAGAAACAGAGAGAGACAGAGAGAGACAGACAGAGAGAGAAAGCGAGACACAGAAAGACAAATAGACAGAGAGACAGACACAGCGACACAGAAAGAGGCAGAGAGACACAGAGAGACACCAAGAGACAGATATACACAGAGACAGAGAGAAACAAAGAGAGACAGAGAGACAGACAGAGACAGACAAATAGAGAGAGACATAAACTGAGAGACACAGAGAGGGATAGAGAGACACATAGAGAGACAGAGTGACACAGAGAGAGAGAGACAGAGACAGACACATAGAGAAAGAGACAGACAGATAGAGAGAGACAGAGACAGAGAGAGACAGAGACAGATAGAGAGAGACAAAGAGACACAGAGAGAGACAGAAACAGAGAGACACAGAGAGAGACAAAGAGACACAGAGAAAGACAGAAACAGAGAGACACAGAGAGAGAAATAGAGACACATAGAGAGACATAGAGAAAGAGAGTAGAGAAGAAAAGAGAGTAGAGAAGAGAAGCAAGAAAAACGAAGGAGAGATAAAAAATCTGAATAGTAATGGCAACTGGTGTGAGCTGACTTAAGGCTGTCAAGATGGATTCAGGCTGGCGTCAGTTTGGTTCCATTTGTGTTGTGGATTGTGGGCAGTTACAACATGAGAACAGCTGAATATACTCCAGCTCTCCCGTCCCACCCCAAGCACAGACAGTACTCGCACCACTATTACACTCCCGTCCCACCCCCACCACAGGCAGTACTTGCACCACTATTACACTCCCTCCCACCCCCACCACAGGCAGTACTTGCACCACTATTACACTCCCTCCCACCCCCACCACAGGCAGTACTCGCACCACTATTACACTCCCTCCCACCCCCACCACAGGCAGTACTCGCACCACTAGCACTCTTCCATCCCACCCAAACCCCAGACAGCACTCACACCCCTAGTACTCTTCCATCCCACCCAAACCCCAGACAGCACTCACACCACTAGCACTCTTCCGTCCCACCCCAACCCCATACAGTACTCACACCACTAGTACTCTTCCGTCCCACCACAACCACAGACAGTACTCACACCACTAGTACTCTTCCATCCCACCCCAACCACAGACAGTACTCGCACTACTACTACTCTTCCGTCCCACCACAACCACAGACAGCACTGTCACCACTAGCACTCTTTCGTTCCACCCCAACCACAGACAGTACTCGCACTACTAGCACTCTTCCGTCCCACCCCAAACACAGACAGTACTCGCACCACTAATACTCTTCTGTCCCACCCCAACCATAGACAGAACTCGCACCACTACTACTCTTCCGTTCCACCACAACCACAGACAGTACTCGCACCACTAGTACTCTTCCATCCCACCCCAACCACAGACAGTACTCACACCACTGGTACTCTTCCGTCCCACTCTAACCACAGACAGTACTCGTACCACTAGTACTCTTCTATCCCACCCCAACCAAAGACAGTACTCGCACCACTGGTACTCTTCCGTCCCACCCTAACCACAGGCAGTACTCGCACCACTAGTACTCTCCCGTCCCACCCCAACCACAGACAGTACTCGCACCACTAGTACTCTTCCATCCCACCCCAACCCCAGACAGTACTCACACCACTAGTACTCTTCCATCCCACCCAAACCCCAGACAGCACTCACACCACTAGTACTCTTCCATCCCACCCCAACCACAGACAGTACTCGCACCACTAGTACTCTTCCATCCCACCCCAACCACAGACAGTACTCACACCACTAGTACTCTTCCATCCCACCCTCACCACAGACAGTACTCGCACCACTAGAACTCTCCCGTCCCACCCCAACCACAGACAGTACTCGCACCACTAGTACTCTTCCATCCCACCCCAACCACAGACAGTACTCATACCACTAGTACTCTCCAACGTGGAGGACGGGAAACGTGGGAGTGAGGGACTGGAAGATCCGTGTCCATATTTGGCAGTTAGAAAAATTGACATAGAGGAAGAGAGCTGCAGATTGAAATGCACAGAGAGGGGCAAAACACACACACTCACACATACACACACACTCACACACACGCATACACACACACACACACAGAGCAATCCCAACAAGTCGCTACCCAGACTATACTTCACATTTAGAAAGATTGAGAGTAAACGAGACACAATTCTGCCATCACTGTCATGATGATGACTAAGATCTCTACCATTCCCTTGAATATCATTACCACTACATGATCGCATGTTACAACAAGCTGGCGTGGACGACACAGGCTCCCTAATTATAACTTCTGAAAAGGTTGAGCAGGCTATCTGAAATTTGCCCCGTTGGCTTGTCATCCGGATTAAGATTTTCTAATCGTAGAGTGGTTAAACAATCAAATAGCAGTCAGGAAGGGAAATTTCGATAAATGGATTATTCAGTTAAAAGTCTCAAGTCTCATGGATTATTCAGTTCAAAGTCTCAAGTCTCATGGATTATTCAGTTAACAGTCTCAAGTCTCATGGATTATTCAGTTAACAGTCTCATGTCTCATGGCTTATTCAGTTAAAAGTCTCAAGTCTCATGGATTATTCAGTTAACAGTCTCAAGTCTCATGGATTATTCAGTTAACAGTCTCAAGTCTCATGGCTTATTCAGTTAAAAGTCTCAAGTCTCTTGCATTATTCAGTTAAAAGTCTCAAGTCTCATGGATTATTCAGTTAACAGTCTCAAGTCTCATGGCTTATTCAGTTAAAAGTCTCAAGTCTCTTGCATTATTCAGTTAAAAGTCTCAAGTCTCATGGATTATTCAGTTAAAAGTCTCAAGTCTCATGGATTATTCAGTTAAAAGTCTCAAGTCTCATGGCTTATTCAGTTAAAAGTCTCAAGTCTCATGGATTATTCAGTTAAAAGTCTCAAGTCTCATGGATTAATCAGTTAAAAGTCTCAAGTCTCATGGATTATTCAGTAAACAGTCTCAAGTCTCGTGGATTATTCAGTTAACAGTCTCAAATCTCATGGATTATTCAGTTATTAGTCTCAAGTCTCATTGATTATTCAGTTAACAGTTTCAAGTCTCATGGATTATTCAGTTAACAGTCTCAAGTCTCATGGATTATTCAGTTAACAGTCTCAAGTCTCGTGGATTATTCAATTAACAGTCTCATGTCTCATGGATTATTCAGTTAATAGTCTCAAGTCTCATGGATTATTCAGTTAACAGTCTCAAGTCTCGTGGATTAATCAGTTAACAGTCTCAAGTCTCTTGCATTATTCAGTTAATAGTCTCATCTCATGGATTATACAGTTAACAGTCTCAAGTCTCATGGATTATTCAGTTCATAGTCTCAAGTCTCATGGATTATTCAGTTAACAGTCTCAAGTCTCATGGATTATTCAGTTAATAGTCTCGAGTCTCATGGATTAATCAGTTAACAGTCTCAAGTCTCTTGCATTATTCAATTAATAGTCTCAAGTCTCATGGATTATTCAGTTCATAGTCTCAAGTCTCATGGATTATTCAGTTAATAGTCTCAAGTCTCATGGATTATTCAGTTAATAGTCTCAAGTCTCATGGATTATTCAGTTAATAGTCTCAAATCTCATGGATTATTAAGTTAACAGTCTCGTGTCTTATGGATTATTCAGTTAACAGTCTCAAGTCTCATGGATTATTCAGTTAACAGTCTCAAATCTTATAGATTATTCAGTTAAAAGTCTCAAGTCTCGTGGATTATTCAGTTAATAGTCTCAAGTCTCATGGATTATTCAGTTAATAGTTTCAAGTCTCACGGATTATTCAGTTAACAGCCTCGTGTCTCATGGATTATTCAGTTAATAGTTTCAAGTCTCACGGATTATTCAGTTAACAGCCTCGTGTCTCATGGATTATTCAGTTAATAGTTTCAAGTCTCACGGATTATTCAGTTAACAGTCTCGTGTCTCATGGATTATTCAGTTAACAGTCTCATTTTCCTACTTTTAGAACGTTTTTATTTCTTCTGTCCTACTGCTTGATCGTAAAGTGTCGCAGATATAGTTTAAAGTTTGTTTGCAAGATGTGGAGCTTGACTTAATGTGTTTTTTTTTTTTGTTGCGTGTCATTAGAATCTCTTACACTCCCTCCACGTGTCTCTTTCACTCCTTCCACGCGTCTCTGTCACTCCCTCCACGCGTCTCTTTCCCTCTCTCCACGCGTCTCTTTCACTCTCTCCACGCGTCTCTTTCACTCTCTCCACGCGTCTCTTTCACTCTCTCCACGCGTCTCTTTCACTCTCTCCACGCGTCTCTTTCACTCCTTCCACAAGTCTCTGTCACTCCCTCCACGCGTCTCTTTCACTCTCTCCACGCGTCTCTTTCACTCTCTCCACGCGTCTCTTTCACTCCCTCCACAAGTCTCTGTCACTCCCTCCACGCGTCTCTTTCACTCTCTCCACGCATCTCTTTCACTCTCTCCACGTGTCTCTTTTTGACCAACCTCTAGACCTGTAGACTGCATTTTGTATGTAGTAGGCTCTAGCTGCTGGCTGATTGTGACCAGATGACCAAATCATTTGATTTTTTGATGTTCTATGAAATCATGGACCGCTACTGTGACCACTATTGTTCTAAGTTCTTGTTAGAGAACTCTGTCTCTTCTTTTTTTTTTTTTCTCGCAACAGGTTTTATACATCTGATCTCACACCTAATTGTGCTTTTATCTTATGGCAATTCCACAGATAAATGTCAGCAATATTTGCTCTCGCCAACTGGTCGAAGCTCCAGGGCAGCAATGATGATCACTGGTCAGATAGGGTCAGCCATCTGTGGACAGTGGGTATTCTAGTTATATTCTCCACGCTGGTCAGTTCAGCCCAGTATGTGGGAGATCCGATACAATGTTGGTGTCCGGCGCATTTTACAGGTGAGGAAATGTTTCACGGGGCTAGATGTTCTTCATCTGACTAGAGACAATGACTCTTACAATGTGTGTGTATGTATGTGTGTACAGAAAAGAGAGAGAGAGACACACACAGAGAGAGCGAGAGAGAGGAGCAAGACAAAATATAACTAAAATCAAGCAAAAGAGAGAAACTATATATATATAGATAGATAGATAGATAGATAGATAGATAGATAGATAGATAGATAGATAGATAGATGATAGATAGATAGATAGATAGATAGATAGATAGATAGATAGATAGATAGATAGATAGATAGATGGATGGATGATGGATGGATGGATGGATGGATGGATGGATGGATGGATGGATGGATGGATGGATGGATGGATGGATGGATGGATGGATGGATGGATGGATGGATGGATGGATGGATGGATGGATGGATGGATGATAGATGGATAGATAGATAGATAGATAGATAGATAGATAGATAGATAGATAGATAGATAGATAGATAGATAGATAGATAGATAGATAGATAGATAGATAGATAGATAGATAGATAGATAGATAGATAGATAGATAGATAGATAGATAGATAGATAGATAGATAGATAGATAGATAGATAGATAGATAGATAGATAGATAGATAGATAGATAGATAGATAGATAGATAGATAGATAGATAGATAGATAGATAGATAGATAGATAGATAGATAGATAGATAGATAGATAGATAGATAGGGCGACGTGAAAAGTAATGCCTCCAAGGACACAACTTTAATAATATAAGTAATTTACAGACGAGACATACATTTTAGGAAAGAACGGGATGCACTTTAAGTAAGGTGTCATTATCTTTCAACGTAGTCACCACCACACTCCACAAACACACCAGTGTGGAACAAGTTTGTCTCATTCCGTCGAGAAGAAATCGGACGATTTTTCATGAAACCAGGAATGGCCATCAACTGCCGTATCCTCGTTGGAAACATATCTTTTTTCCTTGAGATGTGCATTGAACTCTGGAAAAAAGCACAAGCTGCCAAATTGGGACTTTATGCTGGATATGCCAAAATGTCAAAGTCGAGACGCTCTGTTGCTGCCGTTGTTTGTCGACTCGTGTGTGGGCGAGCATTGTCATGTTTTAAGAACTACGTGTTAACCAAGACAAGACGCACCAGTCGTGTTTGTATTTTCTGCAACGTTTCCACATAGCGATCAGAAATGACAGTGCTGCCGTGCTTTGAAAATTCTGCGTGGATTACTCTCTAGGCAGTCCCAGAAAATGGTCACCAAAATTTGTCCCGGTTACACGGCAACTTTAAAGTTTTTTGTAGGACAGTAGGTGAGTTCTTGTCGGCTCTATGGCTAAGTCGATGCGAGCGCTTCGTAATGCCGGGATGCCGGATTCGATCCCAGCTGCGGGCCATGCGCCTTGTGTTGGTTTCGACAGTAGTATCAAGAAAGCCGACCGTCCAGAGGGCAATGGCAAACTACTGGACGTAAATTTGCTTAGAAAAACCACTCAACAGCCAGGGGCTGTTGGGGTTGGGTTGGTTCTGCAACGTCCTGTAAAGGATACGCAACTAACCTAACCTAGGTGAGTTCTTATGCATATATTCCATACTGTCGTTTGTTTTCACGGTCCTAATGAAATACCCAAAATATAGGTATCGCCTTACCCTTCATAACGCGTCAGATGTTCCTGACACGCCTGGTGGCGGCGCTGTTTTATTTCCGACGTCGACATGCGAGAAATCCATCTTGCACAAACTTTGTTATTCCCAAGCAGGACCACAAAAATGCGACATACTCGATCAGTCGAAATTACTATCATAATAGCTAAATATTTTTTGTTTGATGTGTCGTTTGTCATGAGTCAGTTCAGCCACGCAGGCTTGGTTTTGTTCTTCCACAGCTGTCTGTTGTTGAGTCTCATCGCCCAGGTTCGCCAAAGTTCCGCTCCGTTAAAAAAAAAAATAATCTCGAGCACATTCAACCTGCTGTTAGCTAGTTCACAAAGTCTGGAATATTGACGGTACTGATTCCACAGAGGCGTCACCACATACCGCTCTCCTTCTTCGATTGGGTGCACAATCTTTTAGCCGTCAAGAATTCAAAAACGGCTGATTGCTTCAATTACATTTCTATGGATGTTAGTAATGCAGTGGATACCTTCCCACTGTGGAGTTCCCGGAAACGAAAGAGCTGATAAACTAGCTAAGGAAGGTGCAACTGAAGAACAACCTGACATACCAGTCTCTTATCAACAGAGGAAGAGAATGATCAAATCAATCAGAATGCCACGGAAACTGGCACAAGACGATTACCATATTATGGACAGACAAGAGCAAGTCATTATCCTTCGCCTTAGAACAGGGCACAATCGACTTCGCTGCCACATGTACAACAAATTTAAGATTGGCCAATCAGCCATGTGTACTTGTGGACTGGCACATGAAACAACAGATCACATCCTTTAAGACTGTCCCAGATTCAACGCTTTCAGGCAAAACCTTTGGCCAAAAGAGACACTTGTGGAAGTCAAACTTTACGGGCCGCTTAGTGAATTACAAAAGACAGTAAAATTCATACTAGAGACAGCTTTGCAGATATAGATAATTTATTTCATGCGAACGAAAGAAGAAGGAGATTTCTATGGATGTCACCATTTTAGATACTGATGTGTGAAAACGCAACTTTCCATTCATGTCTTGAAAGTAACTTACTCATACAATAGTCTCACATTGGTGTCATTTGCTCCCGGGCTATTAACAATGTCCACGGAGGCATTAGTTTTAAACCGCCCTCTTACATGAAAATAGAGAAAGAGATAGAGCGTTACACGCGCAAGCACACGGCTGCGCACACATGTAGAGAGAAAGACCTGCGCACACATACAAAGACAGAAAGACAGTTAAAGAGGAAAAAGTCGAAGACAGAAAAGAGGTAGAAAATGAAACAAATGATGGACAAACAGCCGACTAAGGCAGTGTACAAGAGAGTGCGAGCTGGAGATCCGTTGCAACGAACTTTCACTGTGGAGACGGCTCCTGATACACACACACATAAGCAAAAATGAAAAATGGAGAGAAGGAGAGATGCTGAGAATGAAAAAAGAATAAAGAGAGAGAGCTAGATAGAGTTATAGAAAGAGTTACAAAGAGAGAGAGAGAGAGAGAGAGAGAGAGAGAGAGAGAAGAGAGAGGAGAGAGAGAGAGAGAGAGAGAAGATGCTAGAAGCAAATGTGTAACTGATACTGCGTTTTTAATTGTCTTGATGTCTTTGTAAAAAAAAAGCTGGCTCATGGGGGGAAAAAAAAAAAGGGGGGGGGGGGGGGAGGGTAAGGCGGGTGATGTCCAAGAAAAACACTAATGATGAACACTAATGAGAGAGGCCAGAGATTCTGGCCTGGGTTCTATCCTTAATATTGAGTTCAATTCGGATAATAATTGACGTAAAAAAAACGCAGGACACCCCAAACGGCTCCGTCCACATCTTCAGCAGCCTAAACTGAGTTCCAGTGTCGATGATATCACTGGCATTTCGACTGTATGTATGCCAGTCTCACCTTTCCCCAGGTTTTGGATGTAGGTCAGATCTTTTGGTCACCCCCTGCTACAACTCTTTGTACAGTGAGGATCCATTTGTGCTTCCACTCTGTTCACTTGCTCCCAAAGGACCCTAAACTCATCTAGCTGTCAAGCATTCACCAAGTGGGGCATTACTCAATATCGAAACAAGACTGCAAAGGATAAAACAGACTAGAGAAATAGACTGTGAGACGCATATGGCATATCAACGGTACACCATGTTGATGAATTTCCTGTCGCAAACTGGGGAAAGGGTTCTTGGTCACCTTTTGAGCTTCTACTGTTCAAACGAATTTTATGGAGTCAGACATAATATTACTGACAGACCTGACTGTAAAAAAAAAAAAAAAAGAAGAAAAAAAAAAGAGAGTTTTATGTATTGTCTGAAGCTGTATCATTGTCCATTTGTGTAATATGCTTATGAAGGCTCTTGAGCAGCAAGTTCATTTTGTCATTCGTGAATGTGAAGCTAGCTAACTTTTCTTGTCATCTGCATTGATATTTGTTCATGATATGAGCTGAAGTGTGACAGTGTATACACATTCATGATCAAATGGTTAATCTAAAGATTATGTTATCAATGTCATGTGCTGCACTTACTTACCGAGGAGAATGCCAAAGGATATGACTCCGTATCCTTGTCTAGACTGACGGACATGGGGGTGCAGCCTGGAGCTGAAAGAAATGAATATTTCACTAAGGGGACAAGACGTTCCATTAACCAACACAGAACAGGCGTCATCAGTCGTTTTACACTTGTGGAGCTTTTGAGAAGATCGGAGCACTTACGGATCTGTCTGGAGTGCTGTGATGATAATCCTTTCTAATCACTAATCACTAATCTACAGATTTTGTCCCTGCTCACAGGTGCTTTTGTCAGTTACACAAAGAACGTGTGTTGGATCAGTAACACATACTATCTCCCAGAGGAAGATACCATTCCCAGGAATATCAATGAAAGACAGAACAAGGAAATCAGCTACTATCAGTGGGTTCCAATCATTTTCTTGTGTCAAGCTTTCATGTTCAAGGTAATATACCATGAACTTTTTTATATAATTGGGAGGGGGGACGGTGTTTTCCCAAACAGGCTCAAAATCACATTTAAGATATGAATCACAGCATAAGGTTAAGATTTTTTATGAATTATTGCTTGCTAAAGTTGTCACCAATCAAGTAATGAGATCACACCTAGCCTTTTCACAAAAAAGTTGAAGTAGGAAAACTGAATTCTGAATTAGTTATGAGGCATCAATCTTGATAGGGAAGCTATGAAGAATGACAGAAGGAGAAGGAAAAGCATGAGGAAGAGGAGGGAGAAGAAGAAAAAAGAAGAAGAGGAGGAGGAGGACTGACAGGAAAGGGGGCAGGATATATGTTTTTTTTTTTAAATGTTATTAAACTGTTCTTCTCCTTCTATTGCCATTTTCCATTTATTATTCTTCATAACCCCAAAAATGGAGCATTGATCTTCAATTAACTTACTCTAAGCTTTCCTGTCTTCAGATTTGTTCAAGATTGTTAAGGTTTTGCAGCTGGTTTTCTACTGAAATCCCCCCTCCCCCCTACCCCAATGTCTCTTGAGACATGCATGAAGATTAAAGTTTTACTATTCTTTGTCTCCCTTTTGTACTCTGGCAGTATGTGGATGATAAATTACTACTAATAAACCTTGAATTCAAGAAATAAGTATAGATTCCACACAAAACAAAAAAATCTTTTTAAACTGTGTTGCTAACAAATTACTTTTTCGTCTTACAGCTGCCAAATTTAATCTGGAAATCACTGAACAAAACAGGAGGTGTGAACATAGACCGTTTGGTTGAACTAGCAGAAAGCACTCAACTCAGCAAACCTGAAGACAGAGAGAAAACGACCATTCACGTTGCTAAGTATCTGGATATTTGGCTCAGAACACATCACTATTATCATTTCAACCTCATTGTGCGTGTGCGCCAACAATTTGGCAATATCTTCTGCTTCTGGTTTGCCAAGAGAGCAGGAAAATTTCTGATCGGATTCTATTTATTTGTCAAGTTTTTGTACGCTGCCAATGTTGTCTTCCAGTTTTTCATCCTCAATAAATTCCTCTGCATGGATTATACAGTGTATGGATATGAGGTGATCAAAACACTGGTGACTGAAGGTGAATTCAAAGATGCACCTCGATTTCCTCGGATCACCCTGTGTGATTTTGAAATTCGGCAGCTTGAGAACATTCAGCGATATACAGTGCAGTGTGTTTTACCAATTAATCTGTTTAATGAGAAAATCTTCATCTTTCTTTGGTTTTGGTATTTGTTTGTTGCCGTAATATCCTGTTGGAGTTATCTATCTTTGCTTATTCATTTTCTTATAAAACATAATCGTTCACATTATGTCAAAAAGTATCTGAAACTCCAAGACAATTTAAAAAATGAGACAGATTCCAAACTAGCAAAAAAGTTTGCTCATGAGTATTTGAAAGACGATGGCATTTTTGTGCTGCAGCTTGTTGCCAAGAACACATCTGAGATTGTCGTGACAGACCTGGTCAACAGCCTCTGGAGTCTGTACAAAGAGAGTCAAGAAACTGTGAGACCTAATTCAGAAATGAATTCAGTTTCTACTGTTGAAATGGAGCCTAGTGGACTCACCAAACTTTAGCAAATTGACCGTGGTGTTTATCATTAACATAACATTGAGGCATCATTCCATTTTTCGTTATGTATGCATCACCATACAGGACCTTCATTTGCCGATAAAATGTCATTAGGTTTCACCCTGTCACTGACAAAAACAAAAGGGATAACAGACTGCTGCTCCTCTTAGGTGCAGGTCAAAAGTGGGGTGGCCATCTTTAAACTGTCATTATTATGTCACCATGTTTGTCTGCACTGTGATGTCACTGCTTTACACTTTTGACATCCTTGATAACAATACTGACAGGTTACAAGACAATGTCAAGTTTATTGTAATTTCCTTTACACTTTCAAGGTTTTACTTTGATTTGTCCTCGTAAAATATGTTTTCGAGCAGTGTAATTCCTATAAATGTACTGTAAAGTACTGTTTAGCTGTATGTATGTATATCAGATACTGTAATGTAAATATTATTTGTTAATGTTATCTTTTGTATTGTGTGTTGTAAATGTTTCTGTATGTAAAAGATATGCTATACAATGTATTTCCCATTGGCCTTAATTTATTGGACTTTATTACAATAAGTGGTACTTCGACTTATGAACTGCTTTACACCTAAACTTTTCAAGAGACAAAATTTGTTCATATTTCCTCTTGACCTCTACATGTGAATCTAGATTCCAGATATAAACCCTGATGTGTGGTGTGTGTGATGCATACTGCACGTACTGTGTATGAGGAACTGCACTGGAAGGGTCTGAAAGTGAAATTGACATTGTAGATACAGTTGTAGATACAGTTGTCTCCCTGGGCAAGACCATGCATCTGGAAGTTGTTGAGGCCGACATAGAGAAGTTGGTAGAAAAGATCAACATTGCTGACCACTGAAGAGTTACAAGAGTTAAAAACCCGAACAGGAAAAAGTAAAGGATGAGGAGAAGAACAGATATCTTTGCAGAATTAAGACAGCAACAAAAATGGAGCACTCCTAATAAGTGATATAAAATCAATCTTGTATCAATGGGGCAAATTAGAAGCATTAGTGAATAAGTGGCATCTAGATCAAGCTGCTGCTTCCGGAGCAACCATCATTAATCATTTTAGAAGGAATTTAAGGAAAAGACAGACACAAGGTTAGATTTTTAAAACCTTCCTTGCCAAAGAAGCAGAAGGAAGCCACTAATGACAGGATTTTTTTTAAAAACAATTTAGCTGAAGGTGATTTTCAAAAATTTGATACCCAGAAATATGTAATGGTATACAAAATGCACATTTTATGCCTAAAAAGGCTCATTTTCCCCATAAACCATTTCTTTGCCATTTCTTAATTTAACTCTTTGAGTCCCAGCTGGGTTTAGCCTCAGAGGCCCAAGGGGTAGTCAAAAGAGATGTAAAATCGGTGCATCATGCGTTCATTGGGCTTCTGGGTAGGAACATTTGAACGTAGGGTGCATTCCTTGGGACTCAAAGAGTTAAGCCTGAGAAGGCCTCGTTTTTTTTTTCCCCCCAAATCATTAGATTTTGTTTTAAATTGAAAAAAATTTTTTATATTTTCTCAAATTTAAAATAGATGTGCCTGCAAAATTCACGTTTCAGAACAAAACTAAAGTCTAGAAGTGGACGAAAGGCCAGAACTTTCCGTCGGAGTTTACAGCCAGAAGAATATGTCATCATCATCCTGTTCTGTCATTTTTACAACAGTTCACAGCCATTTCCTCTATTCAGTTCCATCCTGTGCAATCCTTTTGATATCATAAATGGAATCCAGTCCTACACCTCTGACCTCTTTCAACTCTGACCTTTTTAAACTCTGACCTCTTTTACCTCTGACCTCTTTCACCAACACTCGAAGATTTAAATATATACTGCCTCTTTGTCCTGCTACTTATCCTGGTGTCATAAGTACCAGATTTTTCAGTGAATAAAACCATTTTTTTTTAAAAATCCCAGATGTATTTATTTCTTAATTTTGGCTTTTAAAAAAAAAAGGTGTCTCATGCATGGGGGTGTGTTTTACACAACAAATATGGTAATTATATTTCACTGTTGTATGTTTATAAATGTGTTACTATGCAGTTATATCAAACTTTCATACTTGAAAATGTTTGTTTATATTTACATAATGCTTTTATGATGACAATCATTTTCAGAATACAGTTTTTTCATTGTTTGTATAGAAAGCAGTATGTTCAGGGCAATTTTTAATTCTAGAAGCAAAAAAAAAAGGTGATGGTACTCACCACAAGGTGTCTAATAAAGGGCACTGGTACACAACACAAAGTGTCTATTCCAGTAGTGGTGAAAAAACAATGATGCTTCAAAAAGGTGCCAGTACTGCATACTATTGTGCACTGTCAAAACAAAAAATGCCCAGAGTATTTTACATGACACATGACATGGAACAAACATGCTGAATGAGAATGCCTAAATTATAATGTACAGTAAAGAGACTTTTGAAACAACGTCATCATCATATCAAGTGCCATGCAATAAGACATGAGTAATCAAGGTTTGCCATCTCATGCAGTCACTGTAGGTTTGGATCTGGTCTGTGCTACCGTACAGGTTATAAGGTCCTATTTGGGGGTGGGGGGGTGAGATCTGCGTAAGGATTTGCTGAAATAAGATATGTGTCAGGCTGAAAGTCACATACTCCTTGTGTGGGTTTCGGGGCCCTGTTATAGGGAAAACAAGAACAGACCCACTGCCTACCTAAATGCATGTCGTAAGAGTCGACTAATTGGGAGCTTCTTTTGAAGTTGGAGTGCATCCGCCTGAGAGGCAAGGAACCAGCAGTCTGAATACAAATGAGACAGATCTGTAAAACAGATGCACATACAACACTCAGGTTCTGGAACAGGACTGCAGTCCAGAATTGGATGAACAACCAGAACTTTCTGCCAGAGTTTACAGCTGGTGAACGCGAAGAAGAAGAAAGAGAAAATCACATATATCGCAGCCTAGCTGTGAACCACATCATAATGTAGCACCTGCTTTAAAAAAAAATTATTTTTTAAAGCCAAATGCTCAAGCAATATCCCTAGCAATATCTATTATCCTTAGCAATATCTATTTTCCCTGGCAATATCTATTATCCCTGGCAATATCTATTATCCCTGGCAATATCTATTATCCCTGGCAAAATCTATTTTCCCTGGCCATATCTATTATCCCTAGCAATATCTATTAACCCTAGCAATATATATTATCCCTGGCAATATCTATTAACCCTAGCAATATCTATTATCCCTGGCAATATCTATTAACCCTAGCAATATCTATTATCCCTGGCAATATCTATTAACCCTAGCAATATCTATTATCCCTGGCAATATCTATTTTCCCTGGCCATATCTATTATCCCTAGCAATATCTATTAACCCTAGCAATATCTATTAACCCTAGCAATATCTATTATCCCTAGCAATATCTATTAACCCTAGCAATATCTATAGTGATCTTTAGTTAGAAAACTGCTGATGATTTGTTGCTGCAATGTGTTTAAATAAAAACAATGCATGCTGGGTAATCTGAATATTGAATGAACAACGAAATAGGTCCCCAGGGACATTTTACTGGTCTTGTGTGAAGTATTATTACATGTAATAAATATACTACCAGTCAAACATGGTGTTTGTGATCTTTCATTGTTAGAAACTGGAATATGGTGTGGCAGATGGAAAACAATTATGAAAAGAGAGATAAAGAAAAGCAATGTGACAATATTCTTGGCAGCCTTTTGTTATGGAATGGAATGGTGTCAGGCTGTTGGAGATGGCAGGTTAAGGAGAGGCAAGACTGCCCCCTGCGAGCTGGCTAGGCAATTGATGATGATGGTGATGGTAGTGAGCATAAGAGGGGATAGCCTGAAGGAAGATTCATTGTACCGGATAAACAATAATGGCTCCGAGGTCAACCCAGCCTAAAGTGGGTACCAGGTAAAAAAAAAAAACGGTATTCACTTACTTCACTTTGAAAAAAAAAATTCTCAACTTTTTCCAGACAGAGGGTCACAGCAAATAAATGAGGGAGGTAATAGTGAGAACAACACAACACAAGTATTTGACTGTCGACATATAAACAATAATAAATGTTTGAGGTTCGAGGTTTGAAACAACAGATCAACATCATGGTATATGGGTATTAAGCCCATAAGTGCTCTGTTCTTCTTCTACCTCGTCTGAGTCCAAAGAAGCTCTGTGCATAGGCTCTGTAGCACCGGCGAGGATCCTGAAATACTTTGGGTAGATTGTTAACTTCAAATTTTGCCCGGCAATGTCTTAGGCTACTCTTTTCGATTTCCAACTGCCAAGGGATTTTTTTAGGTCCGCAACAATCCACACTGGTGTCCGATCTCACTACCCAGAGACCAGGAGGAATTCTAGAAGTCTAAGTGAAAAAATCTCAACCCTTACCGGGGATTAAACCCGGAACCTCAAGCACTAAAAGCGGACACCATACCTTGAGACCATGCAGCCCCTTAAACAAAAACAAATCATTGATAAGTAAAGTGGTCTAGTAAACGACCCGTTTCATGCCAGGATAACATTGGGTATACAATGCCAGACTTATTTTTGCACAGGCCCATCTGCATTCAATAGATAATGTCGTGAAATCCTACCTTTACTTCCCAAGACATTTTAGGCTGGATCGACCTGGTAGCTGAACGCACCTATAAAAAAATCCAACCCAGTTCACATCTGAATCTAAGACCTTAGGGACACGGGCAAGCACAGAATCAGTAAAACTTGATGGTTGTAGATGTTGTTACAAATAAGTTGTAGCATGCAAAACTAGCTCCATCATCATCATCATCATCATCATCAATCAGCAGGTACTCTACAGATCGTCGCTGTCGTCGCTCACACCTGGAAGTCTCTTTTTTCCCTAGCCAGTTCTTCAGCCTCATTTGCTTTTATAACCAATGCATCCTCAATGTCTTCTATTCACTTTTGCAGAGGTCTGCCTCTGCCTCTTTTCTGAAAACTATACCTCCATCAATGTTTTCTCAAGGCCACCATGTTT